TGTCATAAAGAATTAAGTAGTATTGATAAGGGTCACAATAACGAAATGGGATTAATCAACACAATTTATTCATTATGATAAAAAAGATAAAAATAATAACAAAAGATGAATAACAAAAAATAAAATTGATAATAATAATAAACAATTATGATTAATTACATAAATAAGAATAGTATATTATAATTAAGAATGAAGTGATGACATCAACAGTCACAATTTTTACTATATTACTTATTGTCACAAATATTTAGTGTCACAACGCACCTTCGGTGCGTATGGCGCGTAGCGCCATTGTGACACTAAATATTTGTGACAATAAGTAATATAGGCAAATTAGGGTTAAATAGGTACCTCGAGGGTTAGTAAAAATAGATATAGTAAAAATATACTATATTTTACTATACTAGTTATGAGGTCATACTTATTGTCCCAAATATTTAGTGTTGAATTCTCGTAAGAATTCGGGAAACGTCATCCTAACGAGATCTTAGATAGGGTTACACCTACAATATAGTTAAATTATAGTTTAATAATAAACTATACTAATATTTAATGACCCTACCATCTAGATATGGTCATTAGATAAAGTAATGTATGGTATACCTATTAGTAATCATGCTGATATATTCGAAGATGAAAGTACAGAGATAGAAGAAGAGAATGTAACATTAAAAGATATTGTTAGTTTAATAAATGATATTATCCATGTATCTGAAACATGTCATGTTCTTGATGGTGGAGTCAGTATGTCGTTTGGTAACATACCTTTATCCACATTTAATAAGACGCTTACAAAACATCTTGATGTTATTGATACGCTTAAGAGAGAAATAAAAGAGTTTGAAAAGAAGAATAAGCTTATAATAACTCGCTTAAGAAGTGAAGAGAAGAAAGAAAAGGAGTTAACTCAAAAGGTGAAAGAAGAGACAAAACCTAAAAGGAGGAAGACTGAATTATTATAATTCAATTAATTGAATTAATTTATTTTAGTTGTTTTATTTTTAGAAAATGTTATTTGTTTTTTGTTATTGTTTTCTAAAAATAAACAAATTTGTTATTTAAACGCATAATTAGAAAAAGCATTCAATTAAAGTGCTCAATGTCTGGTTGATAATAACCAGTACGAATAAGAGAGAGAAGATAAACTAGAGGCTCAGAATCAATTAAGTTAGACTCGACGTCTTTAATAAGGAAGTCGAGCCACATGAGTAAGTACTTGGTCGGATATAAATTATACTCGTGGTCCCATATACGGAACCAATAGACCAAGCCGTAGAGTACTATCTCTACCGTTTCATCTGTGGCTCGACTCAACTGCTCTCTCACCTCTCTAGCAACAGCGGTAAGCAAAATAGAGAGCTTTGTTTTAGGTTGAGTGTATTGCATTGAATGCCAATAACATTATTAGCTGCGTTTAAATAACAAATTAGTGACTGATATGAGGTAGGATATGAGGTAGTAGATAACTTTAAACTATACTTAATAATAAAAGTATAATAAGATAAAAATAGAAATTGTCTGTTTTGTCTCTTTGTCTGTCAAAATTGTCTGTTTGTCTGTTTGAATGCCTACCACATCTAGATATTTAAACAGTCACTTACGAATAAGAAACATCATGGAAGTCGAGGATAAAATCCAAAGCACTAAAATGGAGAACGTTCCAGTAAATGACTTGAACGAATTCTTCGTGGACATGTTCGAACTCAAGGACATGTGCGATGACTTCGTGGAGTTATTTAGAAAGGAGGAGCGTTATTACTCCAACGAGGAGAAATACAATGAGCTCCTCGAAGAAGAAGCTATAGTGCTCGATTCTATCCACAACCTAACGGATGGAATAAAAGAGCGCTATCAGCATGTAATAGATGCATTCTATGAAAGAAGAGTGCATCGTATGGAGGCTAGAATGATGAAAGCCTTCGATGAAGTGGCAAAGAAACCACGAATGCCAAAACAAGAAGATAATTAAATTTAATTAAATTCTTTTTATTAATATTTTGTTTAATTAAAATAAATAATAAATAATAAATAATAAATTAGTCTTCAATATCGTTAACAAAATTGAAGTTTTCCAATAATTCCAATAAACCTCCAAGTTTATTAAAACGTTCGTCTTTTCTGCAAGAATCGACGAAACCTGTAATGTAGAAGAACAGGATATCACTATAATTATAGTGAGTCTCCTCGAATCTCCTCATAAAGTACATGATAGAATAGATTAGACATTTAGAGTCCAAATCTATAGTATCATTATCGAGGAGACCTTTACAGGTTTCGTCGATATCTTGCACTATGGATGTAAGAAGAGGGAACATGAAATGAATTAAAAAGTGCCCAACTATAAATAACAAGTAAAACGTGTACTCCACAGATAAACAGACAATTCTAAAATTAAAATACTATAAAAATATTATACTTATAGTAAAACAGACAATTGATATCCTCATACAGTCATTTAACAGCCTCATACAGACAAATTAGAAAATTCCTACTATTATAAATAGAAAACTATTATAAACAAAAAACAAAGGAACAATGTCACAACCACAAAACAGATATTATGAATTCAAAGCCATGCACGGCTTTGTTACAATGAACTTTACTCCAGCACAAAAAGTACCAAATAAAGAGACAATAAAAAATGCCATTGAACAAAGGTGTTCTACAAGAAATAAACAAGCACATATAAAATACCTAGCCATAGGAAAGACCACACAAGGCTCAAATAAACACATTCATGCTTTCTTTGAGCTAGAAGAAGTAGCTCATACGAGAAAAAGGCCATTCGTAAATATAAATGGAAACTCCGAATTCATTAGATTTGAAAAAATAACAGAAAATAAAAATTATGATGGTTCATTTAACGCCATCATCGAATACCTTAAAAGACAAAAGGAAAAACATCCAAATGAAGGAGCCGTATTCGAAGAGATAGGAAAAATGGACAAGAATAAAGGTAGATTAGGTGATATTGACATAGGAAAAGCACTTAAAATGCCAGACTTAGAAGAAGCCCATGCATTCTTAAAAAATATCAGCTTAAAAGGATACATGAATAATGTATCTAAGTTTGATAGTGTATGGGCTCAAGAACACAGTAGAGACACTACTAATAGAATAAAAATTAAATTACAACCATGGAAAGAAGATAATCCAGTTGTAAAGAATAGCAGAATATGGCTCAATTCAGCATTGAGCGGAAGGACAAAGAGAATAAAAACATTAGTAATTGTAAGTGACACCAAAATGGGAAAGACGGAATTTGTAAACGATTTACTAAAAGATCTAAAAGTAGACGAATTCAGAGGAAGGTTTATGATGGACGGTCATAACGAAAGCTTAAAATATGACATTAGACTCTTCGACGATGCAAACTTGAACGACATTATTTGGCCAGAATTTAAGTCATTAATTAGTACTCGCGGAGAACAAATTACTATCAATGTAAAATATTCACATGCAAGAGTGACATCGATTCCAACAATTTTAGTACTTAATCCGGGAAGTTGGAAAGCATTACAAAAAACGGCAAAAGAGTATGAAGACTTTGACTGGCTAGAAAAGAATTCAGTAGTACTCTTTACTAAAGAGAAATTATTCAAAGAGCCTCCACCTAAAGAACAAATAGAACAAAATAAGAACAAATATGATGGTTTAGATCCAAAATTGGTAGAAATGCTTTTAGAAAATGAAGTAGAAGAAGACATCGAATTAGATGATATGGGAGATGATACAATAGATGGATTAGATGATGCAATATATCAATTAGAACAAGAGAGTCTACCTCCTCCTATAGTATTAGATCAGCCATTAGAAGAAGTACCATCAAAAAGAGTAGCTGTAGATGATCACGAAATACAAAAGAGATTTTTCGACTTAACAAAGAATACATTAACTGAAGAAGGAAATAATAAATATATAACAGTACAAAGTGGCAAGAAAATAAGAATAGCAGATGAAGATAGTGAAATAGAAGAAAGTGAAGATGATCCAGATGCTCTAGCAAACAATTGGAATACAGGTAATTTTTAATTAACTGTTTTTTATAATTCATCTTTTATTTTTTATTCAATATGAGCTATTGGCATAGACCTAATGTATTTAGAAGACGTTGGGGTAGTTACGGAAGTATAAAAAATAATTGGTATTCCAATAACTACTCCTTAAATTCAATAAATGATAATTATGATCCTGATGCAGGAGATGAAGATTATACAGAAGAAGATGATGTAGATCTACATCCAAATGTATACACAGAAAATAGTTATTTTGATCCAGATAATGAACCAGAACGAGCAAATAAACCAGACATAATAGACGAAGAATACAATAAAACAGAAGAATCTCTTTTTGATGATCCAGACTATGAAGAATACAATAAAGAATTTGGAAATATTGAACAACCAAACGATGAAGAAGAACAAAATATAAAAAATGAAGAAGAAGATACTCAAGAAGAAATTGAACCAACATATGAAATAGTTAATCCAAATAATCCAGAACAAGTCTATACTTACGATGACAATACAATTAAAATACTTGATGGTATTATTGACATTAACAACGATCAAGAACTAATTAACGTACTCAATCAAGTAGACCAAGACATTAAAAACAATAATAGAATAATAGAAAATGATAATTCAGAAGAGCTTATAAATGACATTCCTATAGTAATTACAAATGAAGAAGATAAAGTAATACTAGCAGATAACATAAAAGAAGAAAAAATACCATCAATACTAGAACAATTAAAAGAACAACCATTACAAGAAGAAATAGAAATACATAAAGACGTTAAAGATCCTGATAACTTTATAATACCACCAAAACAATACAAAGAAATAAAACCAATGGATGATGATGAAGAAGATGAAAAGAATAGAAAAAGATATAGAAAGTTAAATGACTTCTTTAATGATAATTATAAGAAAAGAGGAGATGATAGTTCTTCGGATAGTGAAGATAATAGAGAAGATGGAAAAGGTAAAGTTAAATATCAAGCTAAAAGACCATTTGAAGAGAAACTAACATCAACATTCTTTAATCCACCTAGAATTAATAACTTACCACCTCAACAACCAATACAAGAGATTGTACCATATCAACAAATGATAATTAAACCAGAACAGAAAAAGAAAAAGAAGTCTCCCAAGAAAATACAAAATAATGATGACGTCAACGGTAATAAACCTGACGACGATTCTAAAGGTATAAAGATTAAATTAAACGAATTAGAAGAAAGAGAATTAGTATTAAAAGAAGCTAAACCTGTACCAGACTTTATACCTTTAGAATCCGTCGATATACCAAATGAAGTAGAAAATGAAGAACCAATACTAGAAGATGATGAACAAGAATTAGAATGGTATGATGACCATATGCCAGAAGAAATAAAATTAGATCCTGTACCAGAAGATGCTAAATATTGGCAGAACTTTAAACATAATTCAGAAAAGAAGAAAATAAATTATCCAATTCAATTACTTGATGATAGAACACAAGGTAATTTAGAAAGACAAGCTAAAGAATCAAGAAAACTCCAACGAAAAACAAGAAAACAAGAAAAGATCAAAAAGATGAAAGATCCTATAAATAAAATAACACAAATAAATAAATTTGTTAATAAGAAAATTAAGAAATACTTAAAACGTCATCCTCTATTAATAGAAGAAGAGATTCCCGAAGAACTTATCGAACGATGGCAAGAAGAAGCACTCCATGATTACGATTATAGATTACTAATGTTAGAATCAGAAGTTATAATTATACAACAACCACCTTCTACAAAAAGAAAAGAACCAAACGAAGAAAAAGAAGAGAAAGAAGAGAAACCAGAAATAGAAAAAGAAGAAAACGATTACCCGTTAAATCTAATTATAGAAGAAGATAGTGAAGCAGAAATACCTGTAGAACCAGTAGAACCATTAGAAGATCCACAGTTCGACTTTGCCACATCAACAATTGGCGGGGGAGATAAAGTAAGAACTAGATAATTGACTATTTAAAGAACCGTTTTAATCTGTTTAATCATACCATGACTACAAGCATCAGAGACATCATAGCCGATTTTGCTTTGGGCAAATACAAAGAAATGGAGGACGAAGAATTAATAGAAACAATAAACAAATTGATGTATATAATAGATGATCAAACATCTACCGAAGAAAAAGTAGCATTAAAGAAGCCATATTGGTCTCTCGTCTATAGAATAGCTAATAAAAAGGGCTTAATGTGGGAATTACCAAAGAAAAAGAAAGAAGAGAAAGAAGAAAAGAAACCATACAAGAATAGATTTATTATAAAAGATAAAAAAGCAGAAGAAACAAAGCCTAAAAAAGAAGATAATTAATTATTTCAAATTGTAAATATGATTTTCGTTTTGTTTATTTTCTACAAAAACTTTACGTCCATCAGGTCGTGTATACACTTTAAAAGTATCAGGATCTGTTGGACTAATTTTCAATAAAACACTGCCCCATTCATCTTCATTTTCAGAACTACCAAGACCCTTAAGATAATTAAATCCACTACGATTAGGATCATCAGGATACATAAATCTATCATTTTTATCACGAGTCCAAGCATAATGATTTCTCATATATTCAATAAGATTACTCTTCTTCTCAAAGTCACTAGCCTCAAACCATCTACGACCACTTCCAATACGCTGATGAGTACGCATACCATAATTAATTTTATGATAATAATCATCATTACTACCAGTAAGTAATTCCCTAGGAAGTTGAATATTCAATAATTTAGCATAACGATAAGCAGCAGCATGATCAACACTAAAATCAGTTCGAATATGACGCCTCAATTCATCAGGCAATTGTTCATAAATAAAAGTAAGACGTCGAGAATTATATTCTTCAAGATCATCAGGAAGTAGTTCACCTAAAGATTCAGGAAACAATTCAAATTCATTACCATTCTTTAAAAGCTGATTTTGATATTTAGGATCAATAACAATACCTTCACTTTCAGCAACATAATGTTCAGGAGCATAATATCGTTCACCATCTTTCTTAAGAGCTCTAGCAGGAATAAAATGCAATTCATCACGTATAACAGTAGGAAGAGGAAGAGCACCATAATCTCGATCTTCTTCATACAACTTACCTAACTCCTGCTCAGTAAAAATAACATGAACATAATCCTTAACCAATGAAGGATCATCAAGCAACATTTGCTTAAGAGCATCTAAATCATCATTCTTAACATTATTACCTTTAATATACTTTTCACGCATATATTTAATATTATCTTGTGTAGTATTCTTTCTAGTAGGAACATTATCACGATTTAAACGATCCTTAACACCTTTATACAAATCCTTTCCTCCTTCACCAGCAGCAGCAGTAAGAGCGGTTCCTAACAAACTACCACCAACTTTAATACCTTTATCAAACATAGCCCTGATTAAAGAAGCATCCAATTTAGCTGCAGGATTATTCTTAATGACATCTTTCAAATCTTTAGGGAAACGTTCAGAAATATCCTTAACACGATCACCAATACTATCCTTAACATCTTTCCACCAACTATCCTTCTCCTTACTAGAACCTCCCTTATCAAACAAACTATCAGTTCTATCTTCTATCTCTCTTATTTTTTTATCAACAATCTTACCTAAATCTGGATCATACTTGTCATCAACCTTAGATGGTTTCTGTGTAGGATTATTATTAGGATTAGTAGGTTTTCTTTGCTCAGGTCGAGTAGGCTGTCTAGGCTTCTTTTGATCAACAGGTTTTCTATCTTGTACAGGTCGTTTATTTTCAGGACGATTACTAGGTTTATCCTTTTGAGAAGGTCTTCTGTCTTGTGTAGGTCTCTTATTAGTTGGACGCTGAGGTCGATTACTATCAGGCCTTCTAGGTTTAGTCTCTTCATGCCTCTTATCATAATCTCTGTTATACCTTTTATCAAATTCATTCCTCTTATCACTTGGACTTCTATCATATACACGTTGATAAGTATATGGCTTCTTATTAACAAATTTATAATTACCATACCAACCATGAATAGAACCATAACTACCATACCGTTTCTTATGTAAATTTAAACGTGGAACACCGTATAAGTCAAAAAACATTAAATTATTAAGTTACTAAGTATTGAGTTTAAACATCAAATCCCGTTATATTGACAAGATCCTGGACAACAACATAAACGTGAAACAGAACCATCATCTCGAATACAACCATGCATGCAACAACATAAAACAAGCAAAGTAAAAAGAATGAACATAAGGAGTACATCATGTAAACAACTCATAATTAAAATATAAAGATTAAGATACAAATAAATTAATTAGGAATTAATACTTTTACTACATCTAACACTTCTTCTATACCATCCATAACTTGATTTTGTCTTCTACTCTCAATAAAAGCAAAAAAAACATGAAGCAATAAGTAATATACATGAAAGTACTAACATAACAACTTTCATAATTACATTCCATGTACTATCTTTGAATACCTTTTCAACACAAGACTCAGAGTGATGACAATCACTGCTTTCTGTTGACATATTATGAATTTTTAAGTTCATCTTTATATTCAAATGATACATACACGTAATAATTGTCCTGAAAATACTCATCAAGTTGAATTTTCATTTAATGTTAAAAAAAGAGTATTAATAAAAGAAAATAAAAACTTTGGAATAGATACAACTCATATATTTTATGATTTATTCAAAAACACAAATTTTAATTCCTTCTGTAAATGTTTTAAAAGAGTAAAAATAGATAAAGCATTAGCAGTATTATCCATATCTGATATTAAAATGAAAGAAATAGGACTCAACTTTCCAACTGTATCAGTTTCATGGTTCCCTACATATATAAAAACAGAAAATGAAACAATAACACCTGAAGCACAATTAAAAATGGTTCAAAATAGTAGTCATATACAACAACAAATTTATTACCCCGGTGGAGCATTTCAAATAACAACAATTATTAAAGCACAAACTATTCAAGAACAAAACTTTTATGGACCAACAAGAGTAGAAGGTTTTTGGACTTACGATGAAAATAATATCTCTTGGAATCCTTATACAAATGAAAATGTAACTATCCCATTTTATCCTTGGTATATTATAGCAGTAGAAACAACAAATAAAACAAACGAAGGAGAAGAAGACCAAATAATAGACTTCAATCTCCAATGGTATATAACATGTTCATTCGATAGATATATTTGCACTCCAACAGAAGATGAAGATATTGAACCCAATCCAGACATAACACTAGTAGATTTAAACTATACAATTACAAACGATGACATTAATAATAGAGAAGACATAACATTAGAACCAAATGTACATGAAGCTTATGAAAAAGTAACTTTAAAATTTCAACCAAAACAAAAACAAGTAATAACACTTCAGATAACAAATAAAACTTTAAATTAATCTTTATTATTCATTTAAATGTCTTTAGTTTCTAATACAACTCTAACATTATTAAGAAAGGAAGACACTATAAACAACACTACATACAATCTTCATATGACAATAGATAATCCAACTATAACAACAACTAACAATGGAACCATTCAACTAACAAGTGACAATTATATTAATAATATAACATTAAAAACTAATGTAAAACCATCAAGTCAAACTAAAACAATTAATATTACAGAAAACGGTACTACTACTGTTACTCCAGATAATAATATACCGTATTTAGACTCTGTAATAATAAATACAAATGTACAACCTACAGAAGAAACAATAAATAAAACATATACAGAAAGTGGTTATTACGAAATAAAAAAAACAGACAATTACTACTTAAAACAAGTAAATCTAACAATAAATATACCTCAAATAAATGGAATAAATTACTCATTAGATGACTCATCAACTTACGATTTAACACCACAAGGAATGACAATAAACGAAATACAAAATGCAGCACAAGATACAACAATATTCCCAACAGATTTAACATATACAAACAATGTAGCACTAATAAAACCACTAGGAACATACCCAATAAGAATTGACACAACAGGAGCAGGAGATACAACAATAATAAAACATAAAGATGGAGGACTACAAATAGAAGAAGGAGCAGACGGAAAAACTTACAGATTTTATCCAGAAAAAAGCTATTGTTATTTAATTAAAAACGCAGATACTATAAGACTCATGGATCAAAACAATACTCATATGTTCTCAGCTACAATGAAAGCACAATCAGATACAATAGACAGTCTATACATAACAGACTCCTTACTATTAACAACATTTAAAAACGCATTCTTTCCAACTTATTAAAAATTAATTTAATTATTATTAGCAATTTTAGCTTAATAATTTTCTAATAATGCTTGTCCATCATTACTATTAACTCCAGTAACAAAGCTTTGTAATGCCTTAACAACTGGATAAGCAACAGAAGCTTGATAAGTACCACTAACAGTTAAAACACTACCAGCAGCAACATCAACAGGTGCATCAGCTCCAGAAGAAGTATTTGCATACATAATAGCTGGTGAATTAGTAGTAGTACTTCCTACAGTAGTTAACAAGGCAGTAGTAACAACAGATTCAGCTGTAGCTCCACTTTGATTAGGAAGATTAACTCCATAAACATAAAATGGTTCAGAATAAACAACAAGAGTACTTTGATCAGTTGCAACATTGATTACATGTTGAGCATCATTACCATTACCACAAATAAATACACTGAAATTATAACCAGTAACACCATTACCCATAGTCATAGCAGTTCCAAATGCAATCATAACACATGACAACTGAGTAGTAGAACCAGCTGGAATATTAATAGCAGTAGAAGCAGTACTTTGAGGAAGAACATGTACATTATTAACATCAAATAAAATAGCATCAACTTTACCAACACCTATATTATACATAACCTCATTCAAATACATCTTAAGTGCATCAACAGTCCATGAATTATTAGAAACAGAAGTAACTCCTCCTGTATTTTGTACTTGTGTAGTATAAACTGGATTACTAACTGTAACCACTCCAGCATTATTATCAACAGTCATTGAAGCAGGAATCATAGTATTATTTGTTCCACTTGCAACAGTACCTGCATTAGTACCTGCATAACCAAGTGAATTAGCATTAGGAATTGGAACAACATCAAGTGTACTCTTTCTCAATCCTCTAAGTGAAACAACCCATGACCATGTTAAATTAAATACAAGTGTTTGGCATGTAGCTGTTTGATTACCTAAAAGAACAGAAAGAAGGAAATCAGGATTCCATGCAGCATATAAAGTAGATTCAGTCAATACTTCAGCAGTCTTAACTGTTGGAAGATAAATACTCTTCTCTTGAAGTGATGAAGCAATAAGTCTTCTTGTAATACCCCATCTTGCACCTGGATAATATGCTCTACTTACTGCACTAGAATATGAACTCACTTGATATGGTCCAGGTACAATTGGAACATTAGTTATATTCTGTCCTCCTTCTGGATTGGTTACTACATTAGCAGTAGCTTTATCAATACCATTTCTATCCCATGCAGTAATAACATTAGGGAAAGTCATTGCAGCCTGACCAAATGTATTATATACAATTTCAGCTGATACTGAAACACCATCAATTTTAAATTGATCATACATTCCAGCATAATGTTGGAAGAATTCAGTACCACAAAGCAACTTAGTTACATTCCGTACTGTAGTTGCTCCATTAGTATTAGCTGGAATAGCTAATTGTACAGTCTCAGTAGCATTTAATACTACTTGAGTACTGTCTCTTTGTTGGAAGGCAGCTTTTAAATTTCCTGCCATAGTAGATTTTAAATTACGTCTTGCACGAGGTGCAGTTGCTCTTCTTGCTCTTCGCATCATTTTAATAAAATATAGTTTCTTACTATCAAGTTCTTATATAGGCGGAAGGCCATTTGTTCTTTAGATCTTTCTAAACATACCACAAGAGAACGGCATCCCTTTAAGTCGTAAAGGGACCAAAACAGTCACCCAAAGTAGTGTAACGGATAAGGGTGAGTGTGTGTTCCTCTTTATGACTTAAACAGTGGGAGGAGTGATCATAAGGTCTCTAAGAAAAATTTTAATTAAATAGATTAATGTTATATATAACATTGTTCTATTTTTACTAACCCTCGAGGTACCTATTTAACCCTAATTTGCCTATATTACTTATTGTCACAAATATTTAGTGTCACAATGGCGCTACGCGCCATACGCACCGAAGGTGCGTTGTGACACTAAATATTTGTGACAATAAGTAATATAGTAAAAATTGTGACTGTTGATGTCATCACTTCATTCTTAATTATAATATACTATTCTTATTTATGTAATTAATCATAATTGTTTATTATTATTATCAATTTTATTTTTTGTTATTCATCTTTTGTTATTATTTTTATCTTTTTTATCATAATGAATAAATTGTGTTGATTAATCCCATTTCGTTATTGTGACCCTTATCAATACTACTTAATTCTTTATGACATTAAAATATTAATCATTCTTTACGATGATTGGTGTTATATAATGTATCTTCGTTATTATTATTTATATTATTTATATTTAATATATTATTTATATTAATATTTATGTACATGTTTAATTTGTATTGAATATTTTTATGAATATTCTTTTAATTTTTTGAAATTTAATTTGAAATTTCTTAATGATGAATAAAATTTAATGAAGATGAAATAATTTCTAGATTTTCATTATATATATAATATTTATAATTATGAATAAATAATTAATTATATAAATACAATTATGATATAGATATATATCATATTAATTATATATATAATAATAGTACTATTTATATCACTTCATTCATTTTTATTCTTTCATTTTACATTTTATTCTTATTTTCTTTCATCTGATTATTGTTTTATTCATCATATTCTCTTATTTATTCTTATTTCTTATTTATTTATTTCTTTTTTTTTATTCATTTTTATTCATTATCTATTTCTTATTGTTATTCATTTTTCTCATTTCTTCATTATAAAGATACTGTCATTTCTTTATTTTATTTCTTTCATCATCTTATCATTTAACTTATTCATATTCTTATTAATCATAATCTCTTTAGTAGTTAATTCAATTAATGTTTTGATAATAAGAAATAAAATGGTAAAGAATAAATAGAATTATTATATTAATGATAAAAAATGAATATGATAAAATCCATGATATATGTTGAGTATTTATAATGATTTATTAATTTTAACTATTCATAAAATTGAACAATCAAAATTTATGAATTAATAAATGAAATGTTCATATTTATGTTATAATTTATGTTTTCATAAGTATAAAATATTAATTTTGTATGATTTTTCAATAATTCATAAAATGAAATAATTTTATTCTTATATAAAAAGATAACTATTATTTATTTCATATTATTATTAAATAATAACTCTATCATCATTTATATTCTCTCTTATTTATTTATTATTTATATTCTTTTTATTTATATTCTTTATTACATCATTATTATGAATATTATGTTTATTTATTTCTAATATTCTTTCTTTTGATCATCTCTCTTTCTATCATTATATCTTATTATTCTATTATCATTATATTTTAATTAATTTATTATTTTTTCTTTCATTCTTCATTGAAAAATAAATAATTTCATCATTCTTTATTATGATATTGAAAATACTTAACATCATATACATATTAATTCAAAATAGAAATGTAATAATATAGAAATGATATAAATCATGAAGATATTATATTGATATTTAGTAATGTAATTCAACAAATTATTGATTTTATTCAATTATCTATAAAACAAACAGTTCAAAAATTGAGTTATGTACTGTTATTCTTTGTGTCAAAAGTATTTCCAATCAATTATAATAATCTTATTAATTTTATAAAGAATGAAATAAATAAATATAATAAAACAACAATACAAAATGTAATTAATTGAAAATCACAATGAAGGGGTGCAATTGTAAATAATGTTTAAAGTGATATTTAATTAAAAACTAATGGAATTTCTCTAACTGAAAATATTTATGAACAAATAGTTTTTGAATTAAGAAGAATAACATGAATATTTTAAAATAATAATAATACAAAGAATGAATTGATTTGATCAATAAGAATATATTGATGACTAGAAAGAAATATTCATTGATATAAACATTTGGTCACGAAATTATGCATTTCATTCGTATTCATCTTTATATTATTATAATGATTTGTGAATTTGTTCATTATTTCATAATTGTTGTATAAATGTAATGAATGTATTCATTGTTTGTTTAAAACATGGTGTTTATGTTTGATAGAATATTGAAATGAATTATCATGTTGCAAATTAATTCTTGTTAATTGTTTAAAAGTTAAAAATAGTAGAAAATACAATCAGATGAAAATATTTGTGATTAAATATGAGAAGAATATATTTGTACATTATTAGTTCTATCTTTCTAATTCGATATCTGTATTAAATGAATATATCTGTTGATGAAATTGAAATAAAATAAATATAAAAAGAAAATGATAAAAGAAAGAATAAAGAAAATAATAAGAAAATAAATATAATGATTAATGATAAAATTGATGAATTATTATCATGAATGAATGTTGAAGATGAATATTAAATTCATTATTATTAATTATAAATGTTTAATTTATAATACATATTAAATAGTCATTCTTCATTCTGTATTATTGTGTTGATGTTTAAATTATTCAATTTGTTATTATCATATCATCATTTCATTGATACTTGTTATTTATTATCTTTTTATTTGTTTTATCATTTAATTCTTGTTTGATATGATAATATAAATAATTTAAATTGTATATTATCATCATTCATCATTGATAATCATCTGTGATATAATTTAATTTTCATATCAATAATTATATCATTTAAATAAATAAATAATAACATCTATTAACATATCATTATGATATCTCATCAATGTGATAAATGAAATATAACATATTTACACATTAATAACAATAAGATGATATTCATATTTATATAATCATTATTATTCATAACTAACATTTAAATTTGAATTAACATAATGCTCTTCTTTATTACTTTTCATAATGGTATTTTCACATTAAAATAGAATTAAAGGTAAATGAAATGAAATAAATAATAATATAAAATGAACACAATTATGAATGAATATACTCAACAAGTCAATATACATCATACTCAATACAATAAGATATTACAAAATGTCAACTGATTGTTATAGATTTATTATTTTACCTACTTTTTATTTTATTTTATATTTTTATATTTTAAGATAAAAT